TATTATTATTATTATTACTATTATTATTATATATGTTCGTTTCATCCTTACAGAATTAAAGAGGGGGCTATCGTGGCCCAGATTGAGTTCCATAAGCGGGTACCATTAGTGTGTTGGTATGCGTCCCTTTACTCAACCAAAAGACAGACAGACGGTCAAAGTGAAATCAGAGATGAGATACACCACCACATAAACCCACAAAGTTTGGGTACATGTATTAAAATGTGGTGTTGAATGTTGCATACACTTAACTCCATTACGATAGACACAATATAAAGGGGGCATTACACGTTCGGTTACTACTGACAGTTGCACGTCCTCTTTGTAATAAGAAAATAGTTCGTGATGCAGTGTGGTAAAAATACTTCACTTTTGTGATATTTAAAATTCAGCAAGAAAAGGCCACCCGCGAGTCATTTTGTTCATTTTGATACGCTGGCTCTGAATTTGATATTATTTTTACAATAGGACGTAGTTTTCAATAAGTTGTAAGCGACAATTTTGTCACCCATGGACAGTAGACCGTCCCGGCGGCCGGCCGCCTAAAAATCAGATTTGAAAGAAAAATTAACAAGTGTTTTACGCTCCTCGCAACTGCATAAGGTCATAATATGAGCGCGCGGGACACATTAAACTTTTTCAGTTAACAGGAAATTTTGAATTTTGCCCGGGTGGCGACCGAAGCCTACTCTTATCGATTTTAGACCTCCTTAAGGGATCTTTAACGTGGGCAACTTGCACACGGGCCCTCCGAGATTTTTCGCCCTTGTCCGAGAAGGCTAGGTGTAGATCTTTCCTACTAGGAGATCAGGGGTGTGGCTGAAAGACAGCAGTAAGAAGGAGCCGAGAAGTAGCAGTAGAAAGGCTGCAGAAAGAGCCAGGAGCCCAGAGGAGGGGGCAAAAGAGGTGAGGGGGAATCAGACTCTACCTAATTTTGTTGTGGTCTGCCGGCCGGACAGACAGTCTGACACGCTTGTTGTAGCACGCCAACGATAACATTTCCATTATAAACCTATTGAAAACTTAATTCAAACGTGAAAATAGCATAAAATGCGGAACCAGCGGATCGAAATTAATTTTAAAAATCTATCGTGGGAGAGTGACTTGTTTTCTTGCTGGATTTTTAAACTTACAAAAATCTAATGAAGTACACGTATTCTTATCAGATTTGCATCATGTACAAGCATTAATTTCTGATCATAAAGAGGATGGGAAACTCCTTTGTGAGTTTTAACTGAACGTGTAATCCCTCCTTAAGTCTTTTCGAAGGCGGCCCCCTTGGTTTCCCCGTCAGGACACGGGACTGCGCTGAGACGAGTGAAGTGTGTTGACTACTTTGGCAGGACCTGTCAATGTTTTCTCAATTATGATACTATAGCACACAGGTTGAAGGCAACTGCCTCCAGTTTTTGGAATGCCAGTTCTTTTGATCGACTGAGCTTAGTCTAAAGACATTATGCAGTTTAAGGAAGCTTAAAGTCATACCGGGTAGGTGTGTTATCTATCTATCTATCTATCTATCTATCTATCTATCTATCTATCTATCTATCTAT